ACCTCTTCACAGAGCCTAGGTAAAGTAAGCGAGTGACTTAAACCTGCAAATTGAAAAATATGTGGATAAAAGCAGGCTGTCCAGTGACATTCCCCTGCCAAATGTACTCTACTCTAGTCTTCCTTTCACTTTGCAGATTTCCTCACCAGTTGTATACCACAGTCTGGTGAGTGCTTAACTTATGCAGGATGGTTCCCGTCTCGTCGACTGGCAGCACCCTGTGTGTTTCTTCAACTACAGTACATCCTGCTTGAGGATGACAGTGACAGTGGTGCTGTGGAGGTCTGAGTCCAAAGAGGAGCTATGCGTCTCACAGGAGGCAGAATATGAGCAGTGTGAATCGCATTCTCTCAGCAGCATGGACACTCTCGGGGTTTGTTTACATACTATGGGAGGAGTGTGCAAAAGAAACTGAGCTCTGAAAAGAACTCTAAAAAAGCATAAACCATCTCAAAAGAGCTTTGTGCTCATATTTTTATTTCACTGTGAGGAATAATATTAAATGTCTTCCATAAATTGGGTCACAATCAGTCATGACATTCAACATTATAGTGTGACAAGCAATGTGTGCTTAAATTTGTATATACGAGCTTGACACGAGTATTGGATGTGTATTTTAAAGTGCATGAAAAGTTACAAAACACTTCCAAATGGTCTACTTCCATTTTACTTTCAATGCTTGTCCACTACGTGTGATGAGACATAAGCCTTCTCAGGTGGGTTGACACGCTACAGGTATTAGTTTACAGATGTGCATGTAAGTTACGTTGTGGTGATGCTGTAATGAGTGAAACAATATTCAACATCAATAACATGAAAGACAAATAGTATTTACGGTAAAAGGATGCTGTTGTAATATAGGATCACTGTCAAGGAGATAACAGTAGATGGAGACATACTACATAAAAGTGTTTAGCAATGCAGAGGTGGCCAACCCTGGACAGTTCCATTCCAGACAGTCTTCCTGGTTTCCCTTTTCAGTTACACTCTTTGCATAAATATTGTTTGTTGTTTAGACCTTTAGCCTGTCAATTAGGACACTGATTTTAATTATTTGCATGTCTGTATTCGTTAGAAAGAAAGAAGCTGTTTCTGAGTTTTAACTTAATTTAATTGATTTTGTAAGTTTCCCATTGTTTAGTGAAAATATTATTTAGTGTTAGAATATACTATATATAACATATCTTGCAAAAAATAAAACAAAACTGTTTATACCTCAGTTTATAGACACAGAACAATGAATTTTGGCAAAAAGTAGAGCAGACAGAAGCCTTACTAATATCTTGTTTTTTTCTATTTTTACTTAAAATATTGACTAATATTCCTGTCTTTGCTTGCCAGAATAGTCATATTCTGAAAATAGAATATTCAGATAATATAATATGCAAATTAATGAGGGAAACAAATGCACCATTTCATAAACAGTGCATGTTACTTCTTCTTTTTCTTCTTTCTATTATTCACAATAACACAACAAATATATATTGCACTGCATACAATTAGAAATTCTGGTAAATGGAATTGCATCCCATTTTCTGAACAAAGGAACAGGAGTTCCAAGAAAGTGGTAACAGATATTTAACAGACTCTTCATGTCCGATGATGACCATGCCTTAAAATGAAGCTATGAAGTTAATCATTATACTTTATAGGCAGTGTGAGACCAATCTCTGATAAAAAATGCTGATATATTTTTTAACTCAATGCATTTTTTTTATATTTGAGTGTGCTTCATAATTAGCTATAACAGCATGGTGGGCTCACATTAGATCTCAGGTTCAATTAGATCACATAAGTCTAGGTCTGGTGGGTACTCAAAAGAAAAAACATATTGCTGCTATAACTGCTGCCGATTGATCTGTTGGTGGCGTTCTGCCCTTTGACTCATACGTTCCCAACCAATACCTCATTACGGTGACATCTTTGTGTTGGAGGCTATGAATAAGACATTAAATCAAAAGTTCTGACTACCTGTTCAGTAAATATTCAACATCACTGTTCTTAAGAGCAGAGGTGTTCACCCTAGTGTAGTGTCTAAATCCCGCTACCTGCTTGAAAAGTCTGGCCTATCTAAACATGATCTTTTAGATTAAATGTTGATGCATTTTCTCACTTCTCTACCTGATTTTCTGGGGACTGGGGAGTGCAGACTCTGGAGCACAAAGGATGCCAGCTCACCCAGGTGCGTGTTCTACTTGAGTGTTGGATGAAATTGGACCTTACCAATATGTAAAGCACCTTGGGATCATTTGTGATGAAAGGAACTACATAAATGCAAGGAATTATAAGGTCTGGCCTGATTTGATTGATTCAGTTTGGTTGTTGCACCCTTGCAAAACAAATGGGCAATTGCCTTTATCTTGTATTGTTTTTGCAGAAAATCTCTTAACATCACTGTTCTTAATAAAAGTGTATCTTTACATGTATACCACTTTGCCAAAGCCTTCGCTGAAATGTTTTTTTGTTGTAAACTCCTTGTGGATGTCACATGAGTTTTCCTCACCACCATATACAGAATATCTGTTTTGTGGAGTGACTAGGATACTGTTGGGTCATGAATATTTTCTCCCATCGTATCCATTGAACTCCAGGTCTTTCAAAGTCTCTGTTGGCTTCATGGTGGCAAATCTAACCAGTTTCCTGATTGCCTGACTGCATAGTGTACAGGGATAGCCAGATGTAGCTGGTGCTCCAGTGGTACAACACAATTTCCATATTGTAATGATTGACTTCTCCATGTTCAAAGGGATATTCATTTTTCTACCTTTGTCCTGATCCGTGGCTCTCTACAGTTTCATCCCTGAGTTGTTTTGAGAACTTTTTTCATATTATCTCTTAGCATATACCACTGTTATATCTCACCGCTACCATTATATACAGGTGCCATTTAACTAATTGTAGGACTTAATTCTCAATCTTAAGAAATTTAGATGAAGAAAGTGTTCATCCTGCTTTTTATAACATTGAGAGGACTTAAGAGCACATGACACCCTTCCCCCACTAGATAAGACACTAATCCAACACTGGATCAACATCCACCAATACTGTCTTATACAGTGCAGCAGACTGTAGGTTCAAGTTTACTGCAACATGTCACTGATGAGGCCAACAGTTTGTCTGTTGGGCTTCATTTTTGTTCTTCAGTATTTGCTACACTTCAAATATAACCTAATCACCTAAAATAAAAGTGTTCAATTTGAATATTTGGAAGTAGCTATTAAGGTGTCCCAAGAACCTAAAGACAATTGTCAATACTTGGCTAGTGTCCACATTTGGAGTTTGGAATTCTTGGGAGTTTCAAAGCAAGAAGTAGGATCTGAGGTGTTTGCTGAGTGGTAAGGGATCCAAGACATTCATCAAAAGGAATCCTCGGGTTTACCTTGGTAAATGAGTTTCTTGGTAAGTCAATAGCGTGATCAACAGACCAGGAAAATGGGATAAAAAAAGAGAGAGAAAAGGAGACAGAGGAAAGAACACAGTAAAGGGAGACATCCAAGATTGATCTGGTTCAGATCAATCATAAAGACAAAATTCTGGTTAAGTACTTGAACTTTGTTAAGAGATTTACTATTCAGTTGTTTTTAGGAATCCACACAAAGACTTCCTGTGTAAAGCATCCCTAGGTTAAAAAAAAAGGCCTCTCCTGGTAAGTGGAATCCTGTTTGAAGTGTGGAAATCCTCACCTCCCATGCCACAAACTATAGCACTAAGCCACTGTTCACTGTTGGCTTGAGGAATCCCTCATTTCAGATTAGCCTGTTCAGTTCTAAAAGGTCAGTCCATCACAAAGCTATTAGTCAGCAAAAAGATCTTCAGTTCCTCTTCTCCTGTGAAACAGCTCTATAGCCCTCTATTCTTCTGAAAGAATCAGAATAGAAGATATCCCATCAATCTTAGGTCTCCATTTCTCTTCTTTGCAAATTATAAACTTTTCATTTGAATTCCCTGGACCCCCGGCACACTCAACTAAGCCATCCACAGCCAGTCTTCTCTTCACTGAAAGATGCAGGTTCTCTGTCTCACCCAAGACATATGCTGTTTAAACACTGCTTTGCAACTGTATATAAAGTCTCTACAGTTCAGAACACCTCTAACACACTCTCCTGCCCTGAGCTGCAGGATCTAAGACACAGCTCCCTGCCCTCTGTGTCTGACTGCTGCTATTCCTGAGGAATGTCCAATTAAGCACAGGGCCATTCCACAGGTGTCCAATCAGTCAACCAAGGCAGGTGTGTTCAATTTACTGCAGCTAAGGAGGAGGCTTTAACCAAGCCTCAGCTTGCTCCACCACATTATCTTGTTCCAGGTAAATCTGCTCCCTCACAGGTAAATTGGGCCCCATTACTTTCTTAGCATTCAAAGTTAGAGGCTTAACTATAGGGATTATCTATTTGGTTAAGAAAGTGGGCATATCTGTCTTGTTGGTCTGTGTAGGACCAACAAGTCCTGAATTATTGGTAGTGATATGGGTTTCTTTCTGGATGGTCAGGATGCACACCCTTTGAGAAGCCTTGTTTGTTAATAGAGTGACTTGTATGTTTAACATCAACATCATCACTTTATTAACCCTTTACAATTTCTTGCATTAGGAATTATCTTTTCGCATACCCCAGCTTGCTCTCCATGAGACACACAGATAGGGAGAGAGCCTGGGGTCAGAGCGCAGGGTCTGCCATTGTACAGCGCCCCTGGAGCAGTTAGGGTTAAGGGCCTTGCTCAGGGGCCCAATGGAGTAGGATTTCTCTGCCAGCTGCGGGATTTGAACCGGCAACCTTCCAGTCACAGGCGTAGATCCTTAGCCACAGAGCCATCGCTCCACCCCTGTGTTAATGCTGTGTTATTGTCATTGTTAACATTTGTTTAACCCGGTGTGCCTTTATTTGTTACTTTTTTTTTTAGTAAAGCTGTGCTACAGAACAAAGACATCAGCTGCCTCTTATTATACCAACCACACAGGTATATTTTTGACATATCTTTACAATTTGGGGGTTATTGGGTTTTTTTAAGTATTGATTATCCCACCCAGTTATTTCTCTAACTCTCTAGTTTCTTAAACCCTTAATTGTAACATTATTTTATTTTAAAAATAGACATGATTTATGAACAATTCAACTTTTTTTTTTAATACGAAAACTGTATACATACCAAAATTGCCTCCTCAAAATAACAAATAAAACTTTAGGTTGATGCGATTAATAGAATACACAACTTAAGTGACAGCAAATAATACAAAATTAAGCAACATGATCATTTCATACTTTACCCAGTACTGTAATGGCAATCTAAAGATATTCTAAATGGATTTAAATGGGTGCAAAAAGAGTTTCCTGAAAGGACCTAGAGCAGGCTGAGTCCAAATATTCAGGATTCAAAAGTCTGAGCTGACTATATCCAAGGTTTCCCAAATGGCAACACATAATTGCTAATCACTACCCAGGGAGGGTGGGATTAGTTATCCTGGGGTCTTTTCCTAGTGAAAAAGCAATGGGACTTCCCAATGTTGGGAAGTTCATGTTGATGTCAGTGAGTGATGCACCTCCTCCTTGAAAGAGCCCATATGCATTTCCTCATTTTCCATGCGGTACAGTAGAAGTTGAGTGGGGATAAAACAAAAACAATGGTGATTTCTCAATTTAAGAAGCAGTCGGATCAATACAAAACAATGAAAAAACTAATGTCCAGCATATCTGGAGTTATTTAGTTCACTGTTCAGTCCCCGATCCTTTATACAATTTCAATCATTGATGGAATGATACTAGTATGGGTTTCTGAGAAAGAAAGACAAAAATGGATTTTATCACACGTCTGTTAAATATTTTTGTCGGATAGACAGCCAATGAGTCAGTTATTCAGCGCACTTCAAGAGAGGACAGGAGTCTACAATGTCCTTCGCCACATCCTTCATGACCATGTGCTTATTAGCTGTTTTCAGCATTGCCTTCAAGTTCGTCCAGAAGAACTGACGTTTTTTCTCCTCCTTTGGCCACTCCAGGTAAGTCTGCTGCCTGAGCAGGGTTCTCAGTTTCAGGAATCTCCTAGGGAGCGAGTCAGCAGGAATGGGCTCCAGCAGAATAAAGACCAAGGAGTCCTGATGGATGGTAAGAGCTCGGTGCTGGGCAAAGAAGAGCTCATAGTTACACCACTCACTCTGGATGAAGTTCTGAGAGAGCACAAAGAGTGTTTTGTAGCTGCACTCCACACAGTTAATAATATTGTCTATAATCCAGTTCCCTGGCACAAAATCCCTCTCATGAATACAAAGGCAGAAACCCTCATTCTCCAGGTTCGGCACTAGTTGGCTGCCCACCCAACTACTATCATTTTGACTGTAGGAGATGAAAGCATGGTAGTGGAAAGAAGCATTCCCCAGTGTTTTTGCTGCCTGGTAGTTTCTCCTTTTCACTCTTATCCATACCCACAACATTTTGAGATACCAGGGTCCCTCACAAAAATAAAAAACCAAGCTGATCACCACAACACTGACAGCGGTGACAGGTATTGCTGTGGTAGCCTGAAGCCATGATTCACAAGCCAGTCTGTCCGGTTGATAGTCTTCTAGGAGCATTCCATCTAAGGAAGGTGGGGTGCTACAAGTGTACTCCTGTGGCCAATCAACTAGCAGGGTTTTATTTAATGCAGTTACAAACCAATATGAATCACAGCTGCAGCTTAATGGGTTGTTGCCTAAATTTAGTGACTTCAAACTCTGTAACCTTTTAAAGAACATTTGGTCGACAACATTTATATCATTGTGGTCCATATATAACACTTTCAGACTAGGAGCCAATAGATCAGCTGGCAGTATTCTTATATTGTTAGAGCTCAAGAACAGGTGTGTTAAGTTGGGCATCATGGAAAGTGTATCCTGTGATAAGACTGTAATGCCTGTCTTACAAAGATTGAGACGTTTGAAGTGAGAGGAAAGGTATTTAAAAACAGAGTTTCCCAGATCATTGTTACTGAGATTTAGTTCAATGAGGTGGGAAGGCCAAGAACATTTATCTTTAAGCTTAATAGAGTTGAAACTGAGATCCAGAGATTCTAGAGTCTTAATCTGCTGTGTTCTATCAGAGATAAAGGCTATGTTCACAAATCTGTTATTGCTTAAAGAAAGATGTTTCAAAGCTGGGAAAACATTAATGTAAGAACACCCAGGCCACCAAAAGCCATCATCATTTAAAAGGTTGTTTGATAAATCTAAAATTTCCAGTGATGGTAAAGCAGAGATTAAGTTGCAAGGTGAAATATTCATGCCAGTTCCAGAAAATTTCAGATAAACAATTTGGTAAAAGTAACTTACATTAATGTTAATTTGTGGATATCTATACTGATAGTGGAGAACATTATCAAATATTACAACTCTGATTCTGGCTGTTTGATTGTATCCTGGAATACCTTTAAACTGAACGCCATTAACTGTGTCTTCATAATATGTAATGTTGAGAAATGCAAGAGCTTGAATTGAAGCCTTAAAAGTGTTCAGTACAATGTTATTCATAAGTGAACTGCTGATCCAGGTGTCCTCAAAAGTGATATTACTCAAGGATGTTGTACTGTTCAGTACTTCAAAAGGATCAGTTTTATTGCTCTTGCAGGTATGGGGAAAAAACTTGACTAACTTTAAACTTTCAATTTCTGCCTTGCCCACATCCTTCAGAACATTGTGGAACATCAAATACTCATTACAAAATGACATTTTGAGTGTTAGCTCCTGTAGGGACTTGAGCTGAGCAAAAGAACCATGTTCGTAGTTTTGTAACCCCAAACCAGCACCCAAACTCAGTTGCTTTAAGTGTATGTCTTGCAAAGCAGCAAAGTCATTAACATGTATTGATCTTGCATATGGACTTCCAAGACTGAGAGACTGAAGGTGCCAGAGGTTTCTAAATGTGTCTGTAAGGGTGTAGTTTCCATAGATGTTGTGCGATATGTCAAGAATCCTGCCCTGGAATGAAGGCAGTTCTGGAATGAACTTCAGAGAGTTGTGGGAGATGTTGAGGACTTGTATCCTTGAATTATTTTGGAAGGCTGTGGGTGAGATGAATTCCAGGCCATTGTGTGCAAAGTTCAAGAAACAAAGATAGGGCAGAGTCATCAAATCTCCGCTGTTGATCCTAGAGATCCTGTTATAAGAAAGGTCCAAGTACTGTGTATTTCTGGGGAGGTCAGAAGGTATGGCAGTGAAATTGTTTTTTGAAAGATCCTTCCTGTGCTGTTTCACAATGTTGCATAATTCTCTCCCAATGTCTTCATTTCCTGCACTCATCTGTTTGGCTTTTAAAGCCAGGAAACGTGTGGCAGCAATGATCCAGAAGAGTAGAAATATGCTGAAATGTAACATAAATTAATGGTCAATAAAAGATGGCAATGTGGCAAAAACAACTTCAATCAATGTTCATACCTGTCTTGTCTTGTACTCAGGGCCGGCCCTACGGGTGGGTCAATGGGTGCAACTGCACCCGAGCTCAGACCTAAGGGGTGGGGGGCGTCGCTAAAGTAATTAAAATGACAGATTTTTTTTTAAGAAAAGACCATTCGTAAAATAACCGAAGGAGAGTTCGTATTTCAGGGGCGAGGAACGCGGTGCATTATCCAGAAGGAACATCAGTCTGGCAAAGAAGAGAAACGCAAAGAACAGAAAAGACAATTAGAGAGGAGAAGTTTTAAAGTTAACTTTTTCAATTGCTTACTGGACACTGTCATCAGTGAGACAGACAAACGTTTTTCTTTCTTGAGAGAATTCAGACGTCTTTTTGGCATTTTGTTTGAAATAAAAAATACCGGAAATAATTCAACTTAAGCTGACTTTTAGCTCTGGCTTTGCTGTCTATAGAGAACAGAACCGCAAGGCAGGTGGATTTCAGTGATATCATCTCTAAATTTGCTGCGCCTAAAGCGCGACAAGTCAAGCTGTAAACTTTTAAATAACTAGTTACTAAGTATGAAGTTATGGAAGCCCGCTTCCGCCAGGGAATAAAAAAACGCGCTATGGTATCTCGCAATTGCGACTTTGTATCTCAGAATTGCGACTTAAAAACTCGGAATTAAGACTCTATCTCGCTATTGCGACTTTTTATCTCACATTTGCGACTTCGAAATAGCCCATATTTCATTGTCTGTCCCTCTGTTATTATAACGGATTCGGGTTCTTGGGCTTGTGCTCAGTCTTGCCAGCTGAGCTAAAGAAGACCTTTTTTTAAGTAAAAAAGGACATGCAATGGAAATATGTAAAAAGTATGAGTGTCGGCTTTTATAATTGTGAATTCCTCTGGATGTGAAGTGTCTAGTGGTTGGCATAAAAATGCACATTTTTGGATTGAGAACGGGTTAAGCCCCAATTGCAAACTGCTCCTCTGTTGAATAAAGTCTTAAACATGAAAATACAGAAGAAGTTAATCCCCTTGTTTTGCCCCTGAAATATACCAGGTTATGCACTGGGTGCACAGTCAACCTTGCTGCCCAAGGGGGCGCCATTGGCATACATTGCAAAATGAAGATGCAGGTTAAAAAAGAAGCAGAAGGCAAGACGTTCCTATTGAGATTGCTGGTCCTGGTCCTTATTAAAATATCTGCAAGAGCGTGAATGCATTTATCAAAGTGAAGCTTAGAAAGATTAAAATACCTGTAAATAGTTTATGATTATTGAATAGGAAAGTGAAAATGATCCCCCCCCCCCATAGTCTATGTCAAGGAATCAGTCAGGATGAGATGAGAAACAGCAATGGAAATATATTGAGTAAGATCAAGATAAAAGTAACAGACATCTGAAACATAACAATTTATTAGTTCAAGTAGGTAGCTGTGTCAGCATGCGTAGGCTGCAAAGGAACAAGTAAAGGCTTATTCCACGCTGAAAAGAGAAATGCAACATTTGGGCTGGGAGCCTTTTTCTTTTGGCATCCAAAGAAGGCTCCACAGCTGAAACGTTGTTTCTTTTCTTCTCTTTTCAACATGGGATAAACAATTTATTAGACTGTTAATGTGTCTGTAATCTGTTAAATTCATACAGTATATTTAATCCTTTAAAATGATATCCTTGCCACTTTCAATGGCTGGCCAAGAGATTTACACCAACGTCACATAGGCAACTGCATAGAGGAAGAAAAAATTGCAACTAAACAAGTCATACAACATGGGCATAATTAAGAGGATATGACAGTGCTAATAAATGCAAAATACCCAGCAGAAAACAGTTAAAAATACAACTAAAAACACCCCCAGTAATGAAGGTGTACAGTTTAATTCTGCAAATTGTTCCAGTCGTTGGCTGTGACTAATCGAAATCACTTTCAACTAGTGACAGTACATTTTCTCTAAAAAATGTATAGTACTGTAAATGTACTACATCTTAAAATGAGGTTAGAACAGAGAACAGATAAGGACAGGAAAGTGTTTTCCCAATTGAATTAATTGAAAACCACAAAGCATTTGCTTAATATGTGGAGGGAGTCAGCCAATGAAAGAATGAATGATGCTCAATGATGAGTGCTAAAGGGGACATGTTGAGGAGTTCAGACATAAAATAATATTTTACTGAAAACGGTAACAAAAATATCAGTCTTCTCAAATTGCAGGATAGCAGGGTTCTACAGTATTGATTTTACCGAGTACATAGAACCAATGTAATCCCTTTCTTTAAAGAATACAAAATGTAAAACTAGGATTATATGACTCATAGATTTGAATTATTTGTCTTCACATGCAAAGCAGTTATGTGCGTTACTGAAAACAATATTCATTTAGTTGTTTCATCACAGTGCAGAAATATACCTTAAGAGGATTTCCTGAAGAGGAAGAGCGGAAACCTAAAGAGTTACATCTATAATTTTTTACTGTGTTAATGAAATAAAACAATAAAGAAACAAAATATTTACCTAGATGCCATTTTCACTAGTTTCATACCAGAGTGTGCTGCTGTCTGTAGTTCTATCTCAAAGGAAAGAATCTGTTGGGATTGCTTGAGTCCATTTTTAACCACGTTATCTCTGATGATCACAACTCTGTCTGCCAAGCAGACAAGCCAGAGTTCTCTACCACGTGATCTGTAATTTTAAAAAAAATCCTTAAATATCTTTCCCCATGATTTCCCAATAATGAATGGGCATGAACTTCCGTGCACCCTATGATGCAATCCCTTCTATGTACAACAAAATCAAATCTTGCACATACACTAGGACTTTTTAGGCAAACCTTATTTTTCTCTTTCTCTAATAAGCTGGAGAATACTTGTGGTGCTTTTCAGCGAGTGTGGAACCTAGTAAGGCTAATTTATTTAAACTGGTATACTATAGCAGATACAAACTGTGTAAGCACCTTAAACTACTTCTGGTAGAGGTAAAATTGCCGATCAGAGTGGTATTGGGTTCATGCCTCTTTTGTAATATTTCCATCTCAAGAAGGTGAAACACTAATAGTTTTTCCTTTTGTTTGTTTTTTGAGTTTTCTGTTTCAGTAGAATGAACGCATGGATTATCAAGTTAACATGCATAATAATGCTTGAAAGGAACAAACAGGATGTGAAACCACCCATGTTTATTTCACCCACAAAACCCAACCAAATCCTATAGTATATACTGTACATACACATAGTCCAATCAACATTTTAGCACAGTAGCCCTAAATCACATCAATGTGAAGCCCCTGAAATATAATTATAAAATATTTTTTTAAAGTCTGTACTCTGAGGATGCATTTTGATCCTATGGCAAACATATTACAAGACATTCAAGATAAATCACAATGCGAACAGCTTCAGTGTACTCAGAAAATGAAGAATTAAAATGATCTCTGTTTAATGGAGCAGAGATAATCTAAGTGAAGAAATTTGTGCTGGAATTAAATTAAACAAATATTTATCTATAATACTGCATGTTCTGCTGTTTGTAAGAAGTGAATATGACTCATAATGAAGAGGAACAAGCATTTACTGACATTCTTATTCCATAAATAATGAGGAACTAACATTTACTGACATTCTGATTCCATAATGATAAACCACGCTACATAATGCTATGCTGAGGCTTATCCCATGAGATTTTGCCATGTTGTATACACTCAGTGGGACCATTAAATAACAGCCATAAATAGACAAATGCTGTCTTTTTCTGATAAAAGTATTGCTCTGGTACAGCACAATAACCAAAGTCCCACAAGGTAAATGTAATTCATTTTAATATCTAAACTACAAAATGTACTACTTGTGAGTTATGTAGAAGTATAACTAAGGTCAACATAAAAAAGCAAGAGTTTGAATGTGATAATATCTGAAGATTGGCTGCAGAAACCCAGGTGAAACATCAGAATCAAAGACAATGTCTGATGAAGTAGGGAAAACTGCCAGGCAGTACTTGATGAGTTTACTTTACATCCACATAAACTCACAGTCAAAATCTCTGCTGGTGACATTTCCAACCTGATTTAGATTTTTCTTTGCAGTTTTAAATGATATTTAACTTCTTTCATCCAAAAAGTGTTCAGTGTATAGTCATTTAAGTTCTCATTAACAATTTTCACTTAAAAATGCTGTATACATCATCTATTATTCAATAATTCAACAAAATTGGACATCATGGGAAAGGGGTAAATACATTTGCAAATCACTGTAAATTTGTACAACTCAAAAAAACTTTATTTTCAGCAATAAACACTTTTAGATACTGTTTTAACTCTGACAATGGGTAACAATGCAAGAAGTCCTGTCATGGTGCATACTTTTAAACTCACTGAAACCAGTTCAAGACTGTTCTGTGTGCTTTAGGTTTCAAATCATGTACGAAGTGAAGCAAGTCTGGCCTTTTATCCAAGATGCTGGATAAGACTTACAAGTCACATTAATCAAATATCTAAAGTAAATTTGCATTGTTAAAGCTGTTTAAAAACACTTCACACCATTAAGGCAAAATCAGTCAAGAGAGTAGCAATGGTGAAATAGAGACTAGAGACTGCTGCTGGGAAAAGGGAAGTCTGCTCTGTTCTGCTCAGCCTGGTACCATCACAGCCCTCACCAGGAGTAGGCTGTTAGAAAATGGATGGATGTACAACAGAATACTTTGTGTTAAATTTTTTAAAGGAACATTTGTCTAAAGAACATAGAAACTAACAAAGAATGGTCAGTAACAAAACTAAAAATACCTTTTATTCACAATGTACTATGTTATTATAATATTCAAAATAATAATCCTCAAACTATTAAAATGAAGATTTAAAAATATAATTCAAATGTAACAGAAGACATCCTTTTTAATTGATTATTTATTGATTAGTGTAAAATAAAACATTGTATTTTTCAATGTGCATCGGAAATATGTCCATATCTCCCACAATTCCATTATTTTAGCTTAATAGAACATCTTGTGACTAGAATACTGGGCACTCTTGAATCATTTTAAATATCTCCAAAGATGGTTTAAAAACATGTTTAAATAACATGCATTTAAATCTAAGTCATTTAATATTATATTATTTAATGATATTAAAGTAATGTCAATCAAGGTGGATAATGTAATGATATACCAGACAAGTACAGGTTAATTTCATGCTAAAAAGTAAGACTGTGATTTTTCATCAATTGCTTGGAATTAACCTGTACATATTACTTTGCAGCCTGCACACTCATACAGCTCCCCAACACCAAGCTCTAAATTCAAAATTGAGATTGACTTGATCTATTTCTTACTTGGAAGTGACTAATCTATGAATGGAGTAACTGTAAGAAGTCAAATTGTAATCTTAGATCTTTTGCTTACTTATGCCTAAATATTTCACCTACTGAGCACTCTTTGTGTGCATCTTCTCTCACATCTTCAACTTCCACCCTATTTCCACCTTTGAAGCAGCCTCCATGGTTCATTCCTCACAAGTGAGGTGGATTTTAACAGCCTTGACCTTCTAGTTAATCACCTTCTACTGCATTGCTAGTTTTACATTTTGGGTTACAATGAATCAGCAATGATAAGTGCATTTCAAACCACAATAAAAATGTTGAATACACGGTAATGTGTACAACCTCCAATTTACATCACAAAAGAGACTAAGTTTAAATGTATGCATAGTGCCATTTTGCTGTCATTGTCTGTGATTCAAAATAAAGCAACAAAACGTCTGTTAATGAGAAAGCGGCCCTATTACTGTACATTGTAAACATGCTTAAGACCAAGCAAATTTTGTGAAGCCCTTGCCCCTTGTCTCATCTGTGTCTCTCTGTCTTCCACCAAAATGTGTTTGGGGGCAATTTGCCACAATATTCTACAAATATTTTATATTTAAGTCATGAATGTAATCATCATACAGTTACACAATCAGATATATTTATAATATATTTTGTTATATGTGGATAGAAACATGCATAGAGTGAGAAATACAACAAATACTGTTTTTAGATCGTGGTCCAACGGACCAAAAATATCCACATGGGAATGTAACTGAATTTGACAAAATAATGGTGCTTCTTCTGAAAATTTCACCAAAACATGTTTCTCAAAAACAGAAAGTCCCTTTTAAAAAATATATAGGATGTTGGGTTTTTTTTGCCCAAGTACATTCCACAAACATCAAGTCATTTTAAAACAAGCCTGTCTGAGTAGTTTGTGAAAATGAAACTTGATGTGCTCCTTAGATCCAGTTCCTCACTTTCAGGTTTATTGATGGTTGTGAGAAATCTTATTTCTTGCCCTAATGTGGCTTAGAGTCTCAGGCTCATAATATTCCCATAGTGTCCTTTGATGCTACATGTATGCAATATTGCTTCCTAATGCTTTTTTTTATATGAACAGCTCATCTTTGAGTTAATATTTCAGAATTATCTCTATCTACAAAATATGAATAAATCAAATAAGACTGAACTCTGATGTATAGTTTAATGACTCTCATGTACAAATATTCTTTTTAATAAAAGAAAGGCTTTTCTATGGACTAGAGGACATTCTACTGTTTAACTCTGACTTTGGGAAGCTCTTCAGCATTCAGATTCAGATTGCTGACATTCATAAATCACATTCTAAACAATACTTTTATAAACTCATTTTAATAAATAGTTGGAATGGTGGATTTTGTCTGCTTTGCAATTCAGGCTAAATTTATATTTTGGCATTGTTTCTGAAACGTTTACGAATACTTGCAGTTATTTTAATGAATACAGCACTTACAAAACCAACATTGACTTAGAAAGGGAACTACTATCTTCCATAACATTGCATAATACATCATTAAAGTAGTCAGCTAGTACTACTATTAATAAAGACTTGTGTGAAGACAGGTTGTTAACATTGAAACATGCACTTAAAATATAACCTTATCTCTTATTTTACAAGAGAAAAATTAAAAACAAACTAATTATGGCTTATTTAAGAAATTGGAGCAATTATTGAATGGAAACTCAACTCAGGAAGGTAACTCTTTTAAAAACTAAAAATAACAAAATTATCTGGATTTTCAAAGTTAACATGAAGTTTGAATGTAGGCATTCCTCGGGAACATGAAATCGAAGGAAGAAATTATATGGATTGATCTTTTTGCACACATCAGGTTCTCCGAAGACTTTGGAAAAATCCTCCTGCAGATGAAGAAACACAATGAAAGAGCTGCTTCTAGAAGAGGCTTAGATGTCACTCAGAGCTAGAGAATGAGTGGTGCTGCGTAGGATAACAGTAAGAGACTTTTTAGAGAATATAAATAAAGACTTTTAGGATCAATATGTTCTGAATGCATTAGAGTTTCTAAAACTGTTTGGATTGCATGTGAAAGTAACAAAAGGCTCCAATGACAGCTTGATATAACTATTGCATCATATTTTCCTGTATACATATTTCAAAATATGTCTAAAGCAGACTAAAATTACAGATATAAAATTAACCAAGGCATCTCTCAAGCATGATGTAATTCCAACCCAGCAAACGCCCTGTCCCCCCGTCCCCCCCCCATATTTAAAAAGACAGTGTGGTATAAAATTGCTGGGAACACTTTCTGGACCTGGAATTTGTACCTGTTTTCCTGGAGACTCTTTTCAGGACACACATCCTCTTGGAGAGGTTGCAGCTGTACAGTCCGAGGCAGCCTGCGCAATCTGCAGTGATCCTGCAGATTCTTGACAGAATCCCAGCACAGCTAGACTGAGAAAAGATGCAGTTAAATCAGGATTTTGACTTTACATTCTAAGAATATTATTGTGTTTTAAACCCATCATTCATTTGGCAGTACAGTAATATTTCAATCCTCTGTCTGTTCTTAACTCACACAATTTTGATCCTGTGGTCATCAACAAGCGTGGGTTGGAATAAACTGTAGGACTGAATCAGTAATTTATGATGTTAAAGTAACACACATGCAACAATATAAAAGACAAACGTTGAGTCTTAAAACCCATCTATTCAACCTTTATGGTGTAATGTTTTTAAGAGGGATATTGTCTTGTAACAGTTTATAGTTTAGAACAGCCCAATGTTCTTCCTATGCAGTTCTAGATTATAAATATATATAGATTCTTATCTGGGAATCATGGTTTTTATGGTTGTACAATTTCAACATTGAGTAATAGAGCAATTCCTTCGCTCACTGTAAATTCATAAGACATTTATTAGCTAGGACATACAGTATATGTTAATACATTGACATAAAACAGTTCCTAATAAAAAGGAAACCAACAAAAATCGCTAATATCACCAAATTCTTAATTGTTTATTCGTAAAATTCTTTAACATTTATTGTTTTTTTTAAAGGAAACAATAGTAAAAAAACTAAAAACTTCCAAAGTGGGAGATGACATGGGAAAAAATGGAGAAGCGAAGGCGAATCAAGCACATTCTGAAAGCTAGAGACAGCATGTGACCAACCTGGTAAAGTTTTTCAACTAGCAAAACGAGGTTGTCTTGAGTAAAACTGTTTTTACCTTGTTTTTTTTTAAACATTGTGCAACACTGTGACTGTTCAGGAGGAAATTAGGTAATTTTGAGGATTGAGCAAAGGAACTTAAAACTTTTTTTGCTTCTAAAATGAAAAATATATATTTTCACTTAGTCATCATCATTATTATTATTAGTAAAAATGGCTCTAGAGAAGAAACGTCCCTCACAGTGTCGTCGTTGAATTTTCCATACTCGTAGACTTGTCCTTTACTTTTCTCCCGTCTGCCAGGGAGCTTGCTCGGAGGCCGGCGCTCTGTACCGCCCTCAGACCCGGCAGCCGACCGCTCTTTCCCCGCTCGCGGAACTTGTCCAGTAACCCCCCTCCGCGTCCGCTCCACACCTGTACCCCAGGGTATCATCAAGTCTTCCCCGGGTACGTTTTCGGGCTTCAGCCCTATTTCTGCACATTTCAGCATTTCTATACAGAACAGCAGGAGCAAGCAATTGCGTTTCATCTCTGTTATTGATGAGATTATTTTAACAGAAAGTTAGCATATCAATGTATATTTCCTTGGAAGTCTGTGAAGTATTCCCTTTTGAACAGCTGCTTATAAACCTTTCCATTACTCCACCTTTATCTGTAATTACCTCTGGAATGTCTTTGTTAAGCCAAATGCTATCTGCATTCATGAACTGCCTTTAAATCGGATTTTTTTTTTCAGCCCAGTTTGGAATCAGAGCTGTTCAGATGGTTTAGAATTCACTAAATTCTGTTTTTTTTTCTTGGCAGCGCATGGAAATAAAAATGAATAATTACAGACTCGCTTGCCTGAGATAGGCTACAACTCATTGCCACCTTGTATTGGATAATGCTGTTAGAAAATAGATGAAAGTTTGGTAGTAATTAGATTCAGGTGTTCTAAAATTATTTTTATTTTAAGTAAGTTATCAAACTATCTTATGATTCTCAAGCCCGTACTCAATAACACACCTGAATGGACCGAAAAACTTCCAAGGGCAACTTTACACTTTTTCTGCACTTGAAAATGTTCTATTTCCAAATAAAATGTATGCACAAATACATATATCATATAAGTACAAATATCACTTTTCCACAAGTGTTTTCTCCTGCTACATTTGTATTGTAACGCTTACGGCCGACAGGCACTGTGTAAGAGCCGGCGTACCAGAGCAGGTGATGTCACCGCCCTTCCCTGTGATAGCAGGACCACAGCTACTGGGCTGTGGAGAGATCTCTCTTTAGCTCACGGGGCTGGGTCGCTGCAGAGAGACGCGGAAGTCCCGGGTTCGAGCCTCCAGTCGGGATGGGGCCGACCAGATGCGGCAAGGGCGCCCGCGTGAGCCCCCGTTGCGTTACAGTATCCTTAACTTTTATTTAAAAAATCAGGAGCACATTTCCTGCAAAAAAGATTTGAGAGTTGTCCTTACTTATTTTTCGAGCCAAGCATCATGCAATTAACCACAAAGAAAAGAATACTCATCAACAAAAACACAAGTCTAGAGGGCATATTACAGAGTTCTTCAAGTTCTTTTATTTTTGTGCCTCTTCATTTTATTTTCCCACAACCACTAATGTGACATATCACATTAACAGTCAAACATTAAAGCTGTAATGCAAAGACCCTTGTACCATAAGTAGACATCAAATTCAGTGACTGGCCAGACTGGTAACAACACCTCTCTGCATTGCTGCCCTACAACCCTTCCCCCACCACTTGATCTGACACTGCGTCTTCAGCCTTCACCACTTGTCCACTGCCCACAGCTCTGACTTCTTGAAAGCACTCCGGTTTTGAAATGATTGGAAAGAAAAAATAACTTTTGAAAATTTGAAAATTGTATATTGTTCAAAGAGTCAGAAATCGGCATTTGCAGGAAGTAGCCCCTCCAATGGCTTCCACAAAAAGTTCAAAAACCAAAAAGGATAAAAGTATTTTTTGATAATAGAATGAATGGCTGTCCATATTTCAATACAAACAACTTGCGTCGGTTTCATTTCTTAATGTTAGATTGATTAAACTTTGTGTCTGGGTTCTCATTGGGCTTTTCAGTTTTCGTTCAGTTGCTTTCATCTTTAAGACTGCGAGTAAGAGTTTAAATGAGAGGAGGCCAGTTGACATATCTAGCTCCTAGAATCCCAGGGAATCTGCTTTAACAACACAGCTGTGAAGGCACCTGATTTCCACAGCTCTTTTAGTAAACAGCCTCCATTTCTCTGTCTTAAAGTATACATCCTGTTAATTCCTAGAGCTGTTCCCTAGGATGCGTCCTTTCCCTGTTGATCCTGAAGATCCATTGTGTTGACTTTATTATCAAGACCTGCTAAAGACTATAAAGACTAACTTTCTTTCATCACCTGGTGGATATCATTCCTGTATGACCAGGAATTAACCAGGTCTACCTTCCAGGGCAGCAATAACCCTGAAACAATTCATTCTTTTAACTCTATACCACTGCTTAATCAATTGCTTTTGATTAAGATGTGCACTAAGTAACCTGATCTTGCCTAGTAAATGTATTAGTATATCCTCTGTACAGTACATGCTTAACAACCCTCTAAGTAATGTATTACAATATGATTAACAACACTATTTTGATATAATGCAGGCAAACACAATATAGGTGAAAACAAAGTATCATTATTCATATTTTTAACATTAAGTGAATAAAAAAACTTTCATTTCATAACAGTCAATAAAGTAGGCCGGCTGTGGATGTGACATTTCTCTGGGCTGATGCTGTCAGTGCTGAGAGAGGGAGCCACGGGGTCATGTGACCCTAAGGACAGATGAGCAGCCAGTAGCCCCATATTAACACACATATCGGTATCAAGTTTCCGGAGGATTCCAGCCATCATTCCTGCTGCCAAGCTGTGGAGGAAAAATCTATGAATAGCTGAGTAAAGACTATGTATGGAGACAAAATGTATTCAGAGTTTGTTTGTGAAATTATTTGTTTTGATTCTGGGACTAACTGTTGCGAGTTCCAGCTCTACAGTACGTATGTGGTAATACTGTATAAATCTATTTCCATTTTTTGTGCATAACTATGAACGGTGTATACAATGCAATAGAATCACCCATTATGTTCCCAAATCATCAAAATACAATGCTGTTGATATAGCTAACACATTATTTAATAAAGCTCTCAATTCAGGCCAGCAGCACCGTTGTGCAGTGTTTAGCATTGCTGCCTTACAGCACTGGGGCTCTGGGTTAAATTCCAGCATACTGGTAGGTTATTTGACTTCTGAGAACAGTGGCCCTAAGTGTGAGTATGTTTGTGTCTGTCCTCTGATGGACTGGCACTGTGTCAGGGTGTATCCTGAATTGCGTCTATTGTGTGCCAGGATAAGATACAGCTCCCCTGCAACTCCCAATTGGAAGAAGTGATTAGAAAATGGATGGATGGATAAATTCATACTCCAACCACACTCAACAAAGATTGGGGATAGGATTCCAGAAACAAAATAGCATGAAAATAATTCCTGAGATTTTGTCTATCTTATTCTTTAATTTGAGCAATGTGGGTAATGTGTTTTAAAAGTCTCTGACAATGACATGTTAAAATAGGATGGAACAGATAAATGCAGAAAATGATTTATGGTGGATTTAGCTCTTCATTCTGACCTCTTCAATTCAATTTTTTGTGATAGGTTTTTTATGCAGACATGGTGTGGCTTTAATTTGGATAAGCTCCGTCTTCTTATCTCCACTGAAAATGTTCCCGTTTGCTCTTTCATCAAAGTACAGGGGATGCAAAGAACTAAGAAATTGTTTTTGGTTTTTGGTCTTTATTTTACACAAACATTTGACCACAGAATTCTCTTTTCTCATTTGTGAAATTTGTCTTCATAGAAAAACATTGAAAAAGAAAAGCTTTACTTATGTTATAGTTACTTATTCTGAAAATTTGCAATATAGGTTTAGAAAATATATTGTGTATCAGACAGGAAGAAAAATCATTTTTTTAGGCTGACCGATTGTGGCATTTTCTGAGTAGATAATCTAGAGGTGAATAAACTTGTGATAACTGGTAATTTATATAAATACTTGACATTTTTAAACATTGTAGATATTAAAATCCAATACCTTTATTTTCACTTAAAAGAAAAAGGTAGAAATATTTAATAACATGACTAATGTGTGGCTGTAACGAGAAAGATATTCTGAATTTAAATAGTAAACTCATTCTAAGATTTCTAAGACTTTTATTATGCTCTTATTATGCACTGTATAGTACATGATTAAATTTAAATGGATAAAATAACAACAGACTTTTCGTGACAGTAAGGTTACAGTGATTTGCAGTGTTTTGAGTGGTAAGGACTGTACAGAAGGCTGATTGACCTAATAGCTGTGAAAACAGTCCACTTCCTAGTCACGTATTTAGTGACCCTTATACAGTATGTAGTGAGAAGATGTGTGACAAGCACATACAGTACCTAATAGTACAGCAGAGATGAAGCATATATGATTTTCAGTAAGTGTTCAGTGCAGGTTTCCAACTACCAGTGACTTCCAACAGGAGAGTTGTGACTTATATGACCAAACAAGAGAAGGAACAAACAAAAACTTAAAAACAAGAAGAAGATTTTCAGCTTCATTTGAGTGCTAGTACCTAGTTGATCTGAGAATATAATCCAACCATTTATTTAAAGAAGCCAGGGTACCTAACTAGGTACCTTGCTCCAGACTCATACTCTACAAGCATCGCAGTGATTCACAGAGAACTGCATTGCAAACACCACAAGAGCCCATGATATTCACTGGTGAATCATGAGGAGAGAACTGAGATAAACTTCTCTTGTTGCCCGAAAATGACATAGTGCTCTCCTAGTTAGCTACTAAAATGTGGTGGAAAATATCTACATTCATATCCTTTTTTTGAAAAGCAATGTAATAGAAATCTATAGAAACAAATATAAAAATATGCAAAAATAATGTACTTCATATGGTTGTACTACAATGCTGTTAATGCTTGTTTTTATTGACAAAATTCAGAATGCTTAAGTAGCAAAATCTGTTTGAATCAAAGTATTTTGAAGGTTAAATGTTCAACGTTTAGCCTGTAGCAATGTTAGTAAAGTAAGCGCACTGATTTCCACAAGGGCTCAGGAAAGTGCAAGTGCTTGAGGGAACTTGTTTCATGTAATGTTGCAGGTTAGTATTTGTCGAAGGCTTCACCTCTATCCTCACACAGATATTACTCCATGTTGGCATCAAGTATATTCTCTATCAACAGTTTTTCATGACTCACAAGAGAACTGCCTTTGAAGTGTCCTTTTCTGGAACATTGTCTATTGTCTACTTAACCACAGAAGAAGAAGTATTGTGGAAGCAGTCATTGTCTAAGCATGGCCTACAGAAACAAGTGAGCCTAGATGAGATGGTATTTGTTTTTGAATACAGTATTTCAGCACTCTTAATCCAACCAGGAACACCCCACCAGCTAAAGTACTCATGTACTACTGTACCTCTTATACCAACTTCCTCGTCTCCACAGGTGAAGGTATTATTTTGTATCTAGGCGTGTGCCTTTCCAATAATTTGTCCAAAACACGTGATGGAAAAAGCCTGAAAATAATCTCCCCATTAAACTTGTCACTTTGATTAAGAGACTATTGTGGAGATGAGTGATGTGCTATGGCCAGACTGGTCTTCTGTGCTTTGTTTTTTCAGTTCTTTGAAGGTGTAGCACCAAGACCGAAGTACATCATTCCTGAGTGCACTGAGGTGGTTGGCCATGACAAGGCACACAGCATGAGAAAACAGCACGAAGAGAAAACCAATCATCAGCTTCTTATTGGCTTATGCTATCCAAATCTCCAGCTCACTTTCCTGTGAAGTCATAAAAACACAAAATGCGGGGAAGAAAGGACTAAAAGGCTTTCACCAGCTGTTTAGTAAGCTAGGCCTCACTTGACGTTAATGTTAAGCACTTGTTGACTTGACACCATACTGTCTCTAACAAAATACACTTTTTAGAAGATTTAAGTTGCCATTCTAATGAGATATTATTGCCTTTCCACAACTGAGGCAATGCAGTAGATTAAAAAAAATTCAAAACCCTGCTCCATTTTTATCGGTATTACCGTTAATTATTTACAAAGAAATCTTAATTAGAAAACTCTGAATGTGATATTTTAATCTGTTCTCAGATGTCCATTTGTTGCCTCATGTTAATTATCAAAGCTTTTGATTCAATTTCAGATTTGTAACAGAGAGCAGTGAATATATTAAATTGCTTAAAGGTAACCTATAAATAAATGATTAATCTGCAGATCAACCCTCACATCTAGGGAAAGTTATACTCTGCAACTTCTTGAAGTCATATCCCATAGTCCTTTGGATATGCAGATTATATCAATCATTGCTGGCCTGCTAATATACTGTACAAATGTATGATATTTTAGCAATCAAGCTGTTACATTTCATAACTCTTGCCCCTTCATGCAAAAATTCTGTCAAATGCTTCATGTAAATGAATTCATAATTAATGGCATATCATATCATTTTCATCTCAAAAGATTGCAAGAAGCTTCACATATTGGAACAGAGCCACTTTATCTTCCCCTTTAATACACCGACAACCCCTGAAGACCCCCAAGCTCACACGCTTGGTTTCCGGCCTCTCCACCACTGCCTGCAGATTCAGCCCGTGTTCCTCTGCTGCTCCCTGCTGTGTAATAACATTCTGAAGTTTGATTGAACACTTAAAGGGGACCTGCAGTCTCAATTTCTCAGACCGGTTATTAAATCTTGGTAACAAAAGAAATCAAATGATGGTATCACAAAACTTTTACAGATTATGAAAAAAGCACAAAATCATGAACCGCGGGCGAGAGAGAGAGTTTGCACAAATTGTGACATGAAGTGGCCCCTTCCTGCTCACTAGTCACTGTAAAGACTAATGCAATGTGATGTACAAGTGAATAAGTGCAGGTTGTACAGCAGACACTTCACTGCAGAAAAGCCCCAACATGATCTGCACATAGAGTTAACAAGTGAGTTATATTTGTTGGCAAACCTGTTTAGATGTCAAGAGCAATATTTCTATTGGATTTAAAAGAGTGCTAAAACAGAGGCACAAGCCTACTTGTTTACAATGTACTGTATTAAGATCGCTTCACATCACAGGAAATTTTGTTGCCTTATTCTGAAAAGCAGAATATGACGCTGCACATACTTTGAAAATTTTCTGTCTATTTTGTGTTGTAAATTGGAGATTTTACATGTTCTTGTGTATTTTACCTACTGTACATTGTAGGTCTCGTCAGAGCCAATTGCTTCTAATTCCAAAAAATATCAAAATAACACTGCAGTTCCTTTTTAGTCTCATGCTTCAAGGCATCTAACTCCTTTAATAGGCAAAACAGATTTCAAAATTGTGTGTATTAAAATATTTGATTGTTAAGAAGAAGAATCTAGTTGTGACAGTAATAACTTTACCATTGAACTCCAAAAGATGTTTCCTAATTACCTGATTTTTAACCTCCATTTAGAAATGGTATATTTTTTTTTTCTTTTATCTAAGCAGACCACTTGGGATTAAGCAGATATTTCAAAGGCACATCATTAAAGTCCTTTTTTAAGCACCAGTCATTTGTTAAATACTTGTTAATATTCTCAGTGACAGATTGCATATCATCTTGCGAGAGCATACAAAACTCTCGATAAGCCCAGACTGGCATATTTATTTGATAAATCTCTTCACTTTAATGTCTGTGCAGTGCTTTAGTATTAAAACCTAGGGCTTACTCTCTTAGGACAGTTTATATGCATAATATATGGAAATGATAGTTCCCACCTTCTTCCAGTGGGTGTCTACGTTTGTATATTATGATAGCATAACATCCACAAACCTATTACCAAACTTTAATTACTTGCTTATAATTCTCTTAAATTTTGCAGTAAATGCTTTTGTGTTGTACTACCTACAATAAAGTTGTAGAATTTTAAACATTACAGAGAGTGAATAGCATAAATTTCAATCTTACTTTGTGAAGTAAGTGAACAATTCACAGTGCTATCCAGCTCTCACTTTCTGTGGTTCCATTTACATTTACATATGAACAGTAATCTAGTGACTTCTAATCTAATACTAAACTTTACTAAACAATACTATAATAGAGTGAGGTTTTTAAAAAGACTGAAAAGCACTACTGTGCAAAACGTTTAATCCTCTTAACGATTTACATTGGGGACTCAATCCAAACAAACTGGGGAACTGAGGTGGAAGTTCAACCTTTTAGAGTCTATATTACGTTAATGTGTTGTGCACTCTATATATTGGACATGTGGACAAAGTCTGACCGAACTGCATATGTAATTAATTTCCAGTGGGTTGTGCTGTTTTCCAGCAATGAAAATAAAAATGTTCATTTTAGTCCCTGATTATGTGGACACTACATTGATTTGTACATTTTATAACATCTGCTTTAATGGACTGTACATTATGTATTGAGTGCATAATAAATTGATTTCTTAGCAATATAGAAAGATTTGCATCCCCACTAATTTACTTTAAATTCATACTTTTCTGTATAAGTGGTTTAGAATACAATGCTTTGTGTCCCCTTGCTATGCTAAGGTCTATATAATTTATAAAAAAAAAACTGGATTGCTTGTTTGCTGCTGACATCTGAGTGAAATACCTTGTTTAACTACAGTACCTGACCTTAACCATTTAGACCTGTATAAATATGAGGTACTGAAATGCTATTTGATGTATCATTTTTCATGGTACATATTTGTGAATGTACCAGGTTGTATTTCAATATACAAATATGTTAGTCTGCTACTGTTTTGGTATTGCAGCAGAAGAAGCCTTTCTCAAGGTTGGGAATTACTTCAAGACCACTGGACTCCCTGATGATAATAAAACTAATTGTAGGCTGTATCAGACAAGCTCACTGTGGAATGTTTGAGGTGTGTTAGTTTTGATCATTTTATTTCTAATATAAGACCTCTTTGCTTTCTTACATTAAGTCCTCTCTGTCAAGGAGTGCTTAGTTATCTTGAATGTTTTGCTTGTATCTAAAAGCCCATCACAAATCAGTGGTACTGGATGAATTAAAGTCATTCTGCCCAGTAAAGGAGTCAGCTTACCTGTCTCCAGCTCCAGAAACATTAACAATGTTTTCTGCTGAGATGGGAATTGCTGGGTAGTGGATGGCGCACAGTCTACCATTCTTGAATAGAAACAGAGAAACACAGTCCTCATTGGTTTTAATTATAAAATTATTATTGTTCATTGTGACCATCAGAGGAGGAAGCAGAGCTGACATACACTTTTTTTAGTCAGCACTAAGTGCAGATTTCCAATCACCACAGGTATTTGATAGTGTTAGACTGAATAATTGAGCCATAAAAACACAAAAAATATTAGAAATGAATGAGGCCTTTCAGCCCATTTACCTAATTTAATTACTCGAAGGCAGTTGATTAGAGGATCTCATTTAGACATTTCTTAAAGAAATCTATCAGCTTCAAAGTAGCTGGATAGCTCAATTCCATAATCTTACAATCCTGTTGACTGGCTTTTTGTTCTGCAACCCTCAAGAAGTGCCTCTGTTTTCCGTTTTAATCATGTTTCCACTTAATAGTTGTAGTTTACTTGTATCCAACCTTTTTATATGTCCTCTGGCTCATATTCTGGTGTTTATTTGATTGTCCACACAAGTCCACACTAAAATGAGTCTGACTCATTTCACTCAAATGAACATTTCACTGACACTATGTTTGAAACAAACACAGCAGATCCAAATAGTGTCAATCTTCATTGGCTTTTTTAGACACTTGTGTGAAAAAAACACTGAAGTGAAAGAACAAGAAAGCATGTACAACTCATTGTTCCATTGAAGATAAAATTGCACATATTGTACTATGAAACTTAATCTCAATAAAGAGAAAAAAAATATGTACCTGCTGTTTATTTCTGGGCTGAAGGCACACTGTTCCATCCTCACTTTTACTACACATCACAACCCCCCGAGGGCCAAGGGTCACTATAACACAGACCAAGTGCTCCAGCAGGGGGCGAGAAAGAGCCACAGCACTCTGAAAGACATCTTCCATCAGTGTTGGTAGTTCTAAGAGGGGAAAAAACAAAAGTCCCACCTCATGAGACTTTTCCTATTATTAATACTGAGAAATTCCCCAAGGTAGTTAACCCCTCTTTGCACAGTGTATGTTTAAAAGCCTCTATGCAAAATCCTTAGTTGATAGGAAGAATAAATTGCTTAAAAGTCTTCTTACAAAAATATAAACTGCTTCTACACAATATTGACATATTGTCATTAAGCGAACATAACTTTAAAGGTTAACATTTGAAAAGAGAAGCAAGAGAGTTCAGGTTATTGTCACGAAGCGTTTTTTTCAGGATCCTATGCAGACAGCACAATCCAGAGTGGAGTGAGAAAACACGGGGAAAAAGGCTAGGATAGGGACTGGAAGGAAAACAGGGGGCGTTTCCAAGGTGCGCTGGTGTTTAGGGAGGTGTGTCCGAGGCAAACAAGTCTGAAGGAGTCTGTAAGAATATCGAGAGTGAAGCCAAAGTCCAAAATTGGGTGATCCATCCTGACAAAGACAAACGGAGTTAAAAGTCGGAGCGGGATCCGACGAAAGGTCGGGGGAATAAAAGGGGGTTACGGGACCAGATGCTCGCAGCCCCGGACCCAGATGGTCAGGACGCCGTTGTGAAACCTGTGCCGTCGAGTCGCTCTTGGACTCGCAGGTAGGCGGGCTTCCGGGCGTCCATCTTCCAAAGATGAGCCCAGACTGGCAGGAATGTCTGGCTCTTATAGGAGGGGGGCAGGAACCGGAGGCAGGTGCAGGAGATCAGGTAAAACAAGGAAGGGCTGGAGCGTCCTTAAGAGGAGGGGTTTACGATCTTGACAATTATACAGCATAAGCAGTCTTCTTCTTACTTTCAATTCTCTCCCAGTGTACCCATTGATTTAAAGAGTGTAGTGCACCATTTGTTTCATATTGAGCAGATTTTCGTGGTTTACTCAAGTTTGATATATTTTAATTGCAGTTTGATTTGTACTGTCTGTATTTCAATCTCTGCCCGTCCTTGGAAAAACATTCTGCGTTGAGCAGTGCCTCATAAAAGTGTGATGTGTTGGTCTTCACAGGGATACAGTCTAAGACTAAGACTCATCATCTAAAAAGGTACCACACCAAATCAGGCAATTTCAGACATGTACACAATATCAAACTGGCAGTTCCAGACGAACATTGCTCCCGATCCTCTTGGGTATATGTGCACTCTGGGTGCACCTGGTATCATCTGAAATATTTTTTTAGAGGGTCCTTTGTATTCATGTGACCAATGCACTAGTGCCCGGAGTAACTGGTGTGCCCCTGACTGTTCCTTCGCAGCATCAACTCTATTTACCATTCATTTTCTGGTTGACTGTGGCTTATGATATAAACTGCAGCCATATAAATGTATTTTCCACACAGAGCTGTGTGGAAACTGGGAGATACTCTTAGTCGCACTTGAATATTCTTAAGGAAATAAGGACTGGTAGGTTAAATTTACTAGTGCACAAATTGTGAGTGTGATCAAACAATTTCTTATCTTCACAACCTATTTCCTATTAGTCCACCCTTCCTCTTTTCTTAGCCTGTAAGATGAAATTTGCTGAAATTTGATATGTTTTCTTAATATTTTAATTCACGTCTAGTTAATTTTTGTTTTTTTTCTCTGCTGCTCTTCCTTAAAAAACAAAAAAAACAATTGTATGTGTTTTCAAAGCTCATTTCTGATTTTTTTTGCTATGAGGGATGTAAAGTAGAAAAAGGAAATACTTTGGTGCAGTTATTAATTTGATTCATATAGAAGATGTTGTGTTGTGTTTTATACAAGTGGTGCTGTGTTATATACAAGTGAATCAACAATAGTGCTTCTTCTAAAGTGACACTGCTTATCACTGTAGAACAAACAAGGAGCTTCTAGAAATATTTGATTAATGAAACGTATCTGTGATCCTTGGGGATATGATACTGCATTATACAAAATTATTAACAGAGGCAATTCTTTTAAACTGCATAAAGTAAAATGATATGCTGTAAGTCTTCTTGTATTTATTTTTAATTTTCAGACACACATGTAAAGTAAGCTACCGAAGACAGGACTGCTGCTATATGTCTGCTAACCATGTCCCACTTACCTGCTGGGGTACTGATTCCAAGGGCCTGATTCATTGCCTGCAGTTCAGAAAGATTTGGAGATGTGTAAGTCAGGGATTTCCAGCTGTCAGACAGGAATGGTTTGCAGGCTTTGTTTGTGTCAGTCGGTTCATACCACACTGTAAAAAGATGTGTAATTACTAGTGCATTCGTCTCCAGATTACTCATCCTCACTGAAACACAAAGTACAGCACACATATGCAACAAACTACAACAAAAGGGCAGCCTCAATTAGTGGCTTTTACCATCTTTGCATTGGAACAGCATTGGAACTATACTAATATCAAACAGGGTACAAAAACATTGTTTTTTGTACATTACTTCCTATGATATATTTATTTTAAAATACACTGAGAGGTATCAAAATGCAGGAAGTGAGTATTGGAACCAATAGCATGTGCTGCGTCTACAATGCCTCTCACTACAAAAAGTTATGTTTACTGTTCTTTGAGCAATCAATAAAGACAAATACAGCACCACACTTCGTACCTGGGACTGCGTGCTTCCTTGCAATTGAACAAACATATTCAATGGTGGAAGATGGAACATTGCCATCTAAACACACCAGAGAGGCTGAGATCAACTGCTCTTCAAACTTGGATACCTAAAAAAAACTCCAGTGAGGATTGTCAACAACAGTAATCAGTTTTGTATTGTTTTATTATATTGAGTATACCGTATACTTATTATCAAAAAGAAACGAATCCCTCTATTTATGTGAGTAGTATTTATGCTAGTTTATGTAGTATGTTTTTAGAAATAAATGTATATAGCATAAATGTTTTTTGGTGTATATTTTGATTCATCAATTGGTCATGACATGACTGTTGTGTAAGCACTAAATGTTCTCAAGAGAGAGAAAGATGATGAGGTGGTCTAACATGGTGAATATCGCATCTGGTGAAAATATAGAAGTCAATTTGCGTCATTGATTGAGAGAACAACACATTTGTGCCAGCAGTACAGCATGTTAGAGGCTTTGCTTTGTCAGCGCCACTCTCCATGGAGCTGTGTTCTCTTTGACAATGAATCAAGCCTTTGTGTACACCAGCCACCCAGATGGATGCCAGTGAATGTGGCTCAGAAACACAGAACAAAAAGCCAGTCAATAGGGAGTCCAAGTATGGTGGTCTGGGTAGGAATGTCTAGTCTTCTACAGAACAGCACATGTAGTGATGTGTTGCCAGGCACGATGACTACACAGTGCTACATTCAATCACCTTCGCCCAATCAACTAACGAATTAGATGAGTTAGTTCTCATCAGTCAGACCAGTCAAAGGATCATGGTTTGTCCTGAATCAATTTTGATGAATTAATCAAAACGAAACATTTAATCAACGTTCAAAACCTTATTTTTAAAAAGCATACACATTTAGAGTGGTATGTTCTTTTTGATTCGTATACAGAATCCAAATTCTTATGGAACTTCAGAGCATAGCTGAATAATAAAGTATTTTCCACTGTAACTGTTGTCACACTTACATACTGCTCAGTGATTTGCTGGTGAATATCCATATCACCCAGTCCAAGGCTGAGCTCTCCTTTCTCTGAGATTACTGCACAGTAAGTTGCAGTCCTTTGCCCTTGTATCCTAGCAACTGCACTTGTGTTCTAAAAAAGAAAACAGCATTGCTAAAAACCTGGGAAAGTAAGAATATCTGTATTTTGTCCCTCAATATTATGTGAAATGCTTTTTAGAAGTAGAATTTTAATGAGTACTGCTGAAATCTAAAATTACATGGCATGCTGAGAGAGATTACTGTGTCTGTGATTAAATTGAAAATAATGTTTTACATCTTTTTTTCCAAAATTAAGATGGGCCAATACTGGAATTTCTCACTGAAGATCATAAACTATGACAATAGACTGGAATGACTAAGACTTTTTCATCCCAGAATGCAGCCAAAGAGAAGACTTTGAGACTAGGTTTGTCAGGCAGAGCATGGGGACTCAGAAATGCAGAAAACAAACCTATGACTGACACATGGAAAGCATAAGATAATGCTTGAAGCTGTTATCTTAGCTGTGGCACAGAACACTGATGGGATGAGTGGTGAGAAAATGAAGAAGGTACTGCAGGTATGATGTCAGTGTTGAAAGCTTAAAGGGGATGTCCAGTCCCAGCTTG